TGTGTGTGTGTGTGTGTGTGTGTGTGTGTGTGTGTGTGTGTGTGTGTGTGTGTGTGTTTGGTTTTTATGTTTTTTTTTTAATACATATAAAGTTAAAATAAAACAATAAAAAAGTGGGGTTGTTGCTCTGCAAAAGATCTACAACCCTATATTTTGTATTTGTTTTTTTCCTTAATTTGCAAGGAATATGAGTGTGAGTGATATACAGAAAACCAAGTTGCGAAATCACACAGATGTCCAAGTCGTCGTGTACAATCGGAGAGCATAATTGCACCGAGAATCCATCCAAATAGAGCAATACAAGGAAGTAATGGGCCAATGTTCAAGCCCTCAGGCCATACCAACACATTATCCAAAGTTGCTCCTCTTTGTCCAGCGCCCAGCGCCTAGCCTACTGTACTCGACTATCCTACCTACAGCTGTGTTCACGCAACAGGCTCACTTCGACTGTTGAAGACCAATGTACATGATGTCAACACCATAGCCGACCTCTCTTTATGCACCAGGTACACTCGCCTCCTTCCCTGAAGACCACCAGATCGCCCTCTTACCCCCTGGCGCCCAGCAGCCCGGCTATGGCTGCCTGCGCCCCGCTGCCCTGCGCCCCACTTCACCTCTACGCGCCCCGTCAGCGCCCTTGGCCGCAGTGCAGCATCAAGCACTAGCGCAGCAGACCTTCTGCATTGCCTATGCAGGCCAGCATACCTGGCCTGGGCTGCCTCAGTCCCTGCGCCCAGGCCCGAGACTACAGTAGCTTCCTGGATGCTACGTGTGGCCTGGCTGGAAGCTTCCAGTAGCTTCCGGTTGGGCCTCAGTCCCTGCACCCAGGCCCGAGACTAGTTGAGGGCCTGGGCCCCTTTACAGTTGGGCACGGCCTGAGTCTCCGGACTTGGGCTGTTTGCTGCATCTGTGCAGGGCTCCCAGATAGGTGCCTCGACAGTACTGCTTTTGCATAGGCCGATGGCCTGCTTCTCAATGTATCGGCCCTGCTTTGTGTGTATGTGCCCAGGCACACCTTTCAAGGCCTGGGCCAACTGTACAACGCAGCTTAGTGACCCTCACGCGTCCACTCAACCAACTGGCGTGCTGCAAGAGCCTGAATACCCCCATGTGAAAGTGTTGAATTTTGACCTTTGACGAATATTCAGGCCCACCTTCACTTAGGGTGGGCACTCGGCTTGATGGGGACCTTTGCCCAGAACATGTGATGTCTGATAGGGGCCCGTGAGGGCTTGTTCCTCGCAAATTTTTTGCCCGCAAAAAAAATCTCTGTGAAAAAAGTAAAACCCACCCATCTCTTTTTTTTTTGTTTTTTCTTTCTTTGTATGGTTTTCGATTTTTAAAAAATATAATGAATGTTCAAAAAAAAAAAGAAAATAGCGGGTTGTACCTATTGAAAAGATCTACAACCCTATAATTTTGTATTTTTTTTTGCTCATTTTTTGCCTGCGAAAAAAAATATTCCCGGGTCGCGGTGAACCGCTATAAATGGGGGGTTCAACGCAGTTTCCCCGCATTTTCAACGCGCGTTCAAAGGTTCAACGCGGGACCTGCGTTGAAATAATTTCCAGCTACTCAGGCTCTTGAGAGTTGACCCACCAGATTGATCCTGCAGGTGTAATGACCTCAGCTCATCCTGATGAACGCGCCAGAGTCGGCCAGACAGTACCACATCAGGTCCAGGGTTCATGAGGATTTTCCGCCCTTCCTGCCCTGAGCTTTCGTGTCTGTTGTATCCATTTCCAGACATGGAAGAAGAGTCAGGTTGCAGGTCAAGGGTCCATGTTTGTGTGCGCTGCTTCAGGTTACAGGTCAAGGGTCCATGTTTGTGTGTGCTGCTTTCATTGAGAATGTCAGATAATGCCTTGCATTCACACTGCTTTCATGATCTCAAACGTCTCAAAGAGAGCTGTGCCGATCCAACAACTTCAAGGGTTATCACAGCAAGCCTGATTGTTGGTTTTCATTGATGGGTCCTTTGGGACATCCGTTAAAATCGGAACGATACAGAGAAGATCAAGGATGGCACACATATATCGACAAAGGTCCTTTTTTTCCTTAATGGTTTTCAAACATTTCACTGATGTGGGATTTGCCTGTTTTGTGTGCAGGTGCAAAGTCTGAATGAAAAGGTGGAGTGTATTGATCGGGATACCAGGACTGAGCGAGAGAGGCTTCAACGCCTCGTGGAGGAGGTGCAATTTGCAAGGCATGAGGAACTAAGAAAATGGGAAGGATTACAAGACAGGCAAAAACAGTGTGTCTCTTGCCCAATGAACTCTTTGCTTCCTTTATTTGTTTTGTCATTCCTGTTTTTTCTGTCTTCCTGGTGGCTGGATTGTGCTCATGAGAAACTGTTAAAGGGCAGGCAAATAATTCAAATCCTATCAAAACCCAGAGTGTTAAGCACTATTTTGTTTCATGAAAGGAAAAAAAAGGGGAGAAAAACATTGCGTATTCTCCGGCACAATTTCTCAAATTTTGCCTCAAACCATTTGCCCATTTTCTGTGCATGGTTGATTGTGTTCTTTTTGGATGCATTGGATTGTGCGCTTCGCGAATGTGTGGCATTTGCTGTCGCTCTTTGCATGTTATTCTGCAGAGGAAAGCTCTTTCACTGCAAACACCAGGGCTCTGCTTTATCACGCAGAGACCTGTGACATAAATCTGCTGCTGGTGATCTCCAACCACGATACCGTGTTGTGTTCTTCAGCAGGTTTCAGGCATCCTTATGTGAGAATACGGACTCTACCGTGCTATGGAACTTGATTGTGTGTCTGCCGGCGAAACTTCAAGGGTCTGCTAAACCTGAGGGGATATCTCTGTAATTCTCTGATTCCCTCCTACTGGGATATCTGAAGCGAAGGAAGTAATCGGGCTCTGGCTGTTCATCTCACAATTATGTGGAGGGGAAAGAAACCACCACGGCTACTCGCAAGTCTCGTTTTTTAAATCGCTATGTGCATTGCATGTTGCATTTTTTTGTTTCGCATTGCACTTGAGGGTGTGCGACACGTGGCTTCCGTTTCAGGATGAACCAATGTCATGAGCACAAATGGCACCCGCACTCTGATCTTCTGTACCTTTCCTCTTCCACTCTCCCTGCCCCTGACACCGATCCACGCTGCCCTCCAAGTGCAGAAATGTCACGCTCACAGGGGTCTGCTGCGCACTGCTGCAGCCCCAATCGTTCTGTCCTGTGCACACCATCTCTCCTGGCCCTGCACACCCTACCCCACCCTCACCACTCCGCTATTTCACGTCAAGCACAAATTCAGCTGTGTAATGAACCCAGTCTTGTCAGTCAAACATGTCGTCAGATAGCAATGTTGTGCAATGTCGGGAGACAATCGTTCCAACAAGTTCATCAATTCAACGTCATTGAAGTACATCATCCTTCAGTTCCATACGTGAAATCTCCAAGTCGATAGTATCCAGATTAGAAAAGAGAGGGGGAAGTAAAGACAGATGGAGGGAGAAGAATATCGTAGCAATCAAGCCCCACTTCTCCTGCAGGCTTTGCCCTTCTGCCACGCACTCTCTGTCTCCTCACTACCTCGCCGTTCTATGGTCGCAGCAATGACTGCTTACTCTCTCCTCTCCTACTACAGTATCTGGCTGGCGCCCACGAAACAGCCTGGCGCCAGCGTCCTCTTCTCAAGTCTCACGTGCAGCATCGAAGCCGCAAGCAACTCGCAAGACGGAATGCCCAAGCAGTGGCGAGATCAACCTTATATAGTGTCGACTCGCGCTGTCCAGGGTCAGCGTCTGTCCATGTTTTCAGGGCCTGCCCGTTCGTGCTTGTTTGAGGGCACATCCAGAGCCCAGCGGCTCGATTTGGCACACGAGTTACGGGATTCCATCTTGGCTGATTTCGAGTTCCATCACAGAAATTCCATTTCAGGTTTGGATTCTTGAGCTTCTCTTGTATGCAGAGACAATATCAGGAGCAGTAGGTTAATGTTCTCTTCTACTAAACCAGCGAGTTTCAGACAGTGGTTGATTGGAAAACTTTACCGTGTATTGCTTCTGAGGTCTTCCTCTAGCTCCACTGGGGAAAAACCCGTGTTCTATGATTTTCTCTACTTGATACCCACCATCCATTGAAGGAGGAAACGAAGATGGTCTACTTGGGAATTCCTGTCCTTCAGCATAGGGTAGAGGCGTGGAAGACTGGGTAGGTCTTTAAATGAGGGGGAATGTCAATTCGGTAGGATGGTCAACCGACATCCCCTATTACTTTGAGAACTTCCCAGGGTCCGTAGTAGACAGGTAGTAGTTTCTGCGAGACATTTTCCTCAAGTGAGAATTCATAGGATTTAACCGAAAACATATCTCCTCCTTTGAATTGTGCCGGCCTTCTATGTTTGTTTGCCTGTTCAATCATTTCTGTTAGGCTTTTTTTATATTCTTTTTGCTTTCTGAATGTCGTGCTGATAGAGAACTGCAAATTCTCTGGTTCTTGGGGGCAGCTTCTGGATTTGCTCCCTTGTTAGGGAGTCAATTGGTCTCAGAGGTTGCCAACCTTTATGCAGTGCATTAGGTGTGCGTCCTGTAGAAGTGTGTACGCTATTAGTATATGCACTTGCAATCTTGGGTAGGTTCTCATCCCAGTCAATCTGATGAGGGCGCACATACATGCGTAGGAGATGTTGGCACAATATGTTCATTTGTTCAGTTTGGCCATTAGTCGCAGGATGTTGTCCTAAAGACGTAGTCAATCTGGTGCCATAAGCTTCCATCAGTTTTTGGCAAGATTCTCCAGCGAATCTTACATCTCTGTCAGATACAATTGTAGTAGGAAATCCATACTCAGAAACCCATCGCATCTGAAACTTTGGATGGCAAGTTCAGTTCTCGCTTCTGGCGGCAGAGGAACAAACATTGCGTACTTAGAGAATCTGTCCACGATCACCATTACCATTTTGACTTTTTGTTAGGCTCATCAAGTCGATGGAAATGGACTCACCTGGTCTTTTAGGAATTGGTAGTGGTCTCAATTGTCCCAAGGGACTCTCGTGGGATGGCTTGTTGCGCTGGCACACTAGACAAGTT